AAGAAACAGTCATGCCTTCAAGTATCAGAGTTGTCAACCAAGAATATTGAGGTGTTCAAAAACTTGTATTTCCCAAGAACTATCGTAGAGTGGAACTTGTTGTCACCAGGCACAGTTGGGGCATCATCACTAGAAAGCTTTAAACAACTGCAACAAAGATTGATTGTAACAAGTCGTTCCGTGTGATATAGCCAGCTGCAGCCGTGCCGCGTGCCTGCGAAGCTGGTGTGTTACACGCCAAAGGGCAGTTATACCAGCTACATGTATAATGATACAGATACAGACATGGGGCTGAGGAATACATTTGATCTTGAAGGGAAACATTTCTATATCAACAATTTGTCATGAAAAGAGTAGAGTAGAGTAGAGCAGAGTTGTTTTGGCCTGGTAGGAACTCAATTCCAGTTTGGGCTGCCCTAGATATTCAGTTCAGTTCACTGTTGTCTCGCATTTCTCACAGTGGATGATCCAGAGCTTCATATTAATACATTACTTGGTGTTGTTGCATGTGGTTTCTTTGAATGAGTTTACAAATGGACCAAAGAATGGCTCAAAACTACACATATCACCTCTGGATAGAAATGCTCACACAGAAATAGTGTGTAGTACTTTTGAGTCACTACCAGTAGTGACATGGAGAAAACAAAAAAAACAACAACAAAGGATGGCTGAAAGTTGGTACATGCTAATAACATTTGATAACCCAAGTTTTGTTGACCAGCTATGAACATCTATGAAGTAAAATGAGCTGGATATTTCAAAGTTCTTGCGAGAGGCTCTCCCCCTACCCTAGCTCCTGCCACTGCACTTGATGTTAAACAGTCTTGGCATCTACTCAGTCAGAAGGTTAATGCCAAATAGAGCGAGGCTTACCATTAGGAAATTGGAATTTACAAAGCGAGGCAGCAACAGTTGCAGGGCACATCTGTCTGGCGGGCTCGAAATACCACAGGTCTGCATATGCAGGTTAGTACAGGTAAAATTGGAGCTGTGCAGGTATTTCTGATGTCTACCTGCACCTAACCTGCACTGGGCCATGTACACAGTTGTATATACGTGTAGGTAGTGTGGGTTTTTATTTGCTGCATTGACTGTTACATACTGCCTATGAAGTATGAGAAATGGCAATGGTTTCTGGACAGTTTTTAGCATGATCCTGACTTCCTACATTCTGAGTGGTACAGGTAAAATTTGTCTGGTGCATGTAACTTTCAATGTGATCTGTACCAGTGTAGGTATGCAGAAAAAAGTATTTCGAGCTCTGATCTGAAACAATCCTCTCTGAAGAGCAGCTTTGAAAAAGGACTAATCACTTGTACAGTAGTACAAGAGTTAAGGTTCCTCACAGATGCTTCGGATGCCTCCACAATTGCCACAACATAATGATGTTTTCGGGTCAACATATTTAGATAAGGAATACTTAAAGCTGTTCTGTCTTTACACGCTACCCTGTCAGGACTCAGGCCCGCAGGATGGGACTTGAAATCGTGGCGGAAAGTCGATAATGAGATTGTAGATTGATTGTCCTTGCATTGCAGACAGGAACCAGTGTATGAGTGCAGTACCCATGGATGGGACCTGCTAAGCATTATGTTATGGAGATTTTGGGAGCAACATTTCAGGACCACATTGCATCAGTTAAAGTCAGTGATATCTGTATGGAAAGTAAAACAGCTACACTTTTCATTCCCTCTAGAACACACTCATCAAATATGTCCTAGCCTTAAGCCTTTAGACGCTAGTCTAGGTAACATATCCTTTCATTCACATTTATTTTACTGTTTTTGGGGCCATTTTACAGTTTTTGGTGCCATCTCATCTAAAGGCCATACTGGTACTCTCCAAGTAGAGATTGTTGGTAAAAATTGTGACCCTCTTATTGTATGCCCTTTTTTTTGTGTGGAGAGGGTGGATAAAAAAAAACTCAGTGTACACTGATAAGAAGGTCATAATTTTCCCTGGCAACCACCTCTGCTTGGAGAGTATTACATGTACCGCCTGACACCTGGGACTATCCCTGACACACTATAGGTGTGGGACAAGCAGACTTCACTGACAACAACAGCTGAGGTGATTCAAGTGACTCGCAATTGACCCATGGAGAAAGAGGCCAAATACTTGGCCCAGGATGGAGATACCATCCGAGTCACCCTGATGCTGTTTAAAAGGGGGAATTCACTCCAGAAACTCTGCTGTCAAAACCCCATTTTCTGGTGGAAGTTTTATCATTGGCCTCCAGCCTATCACAACAAGAGTCTTCATTAATCTTTCAGACTATAAACAAGTCATCTGAGGCATGTCACACTGCCAAGGCTGGGGAAATTTGAGAAATGAGGGGGAATTTTCGAGGGTTATGTTGCCTGGAA